CTCTCTTCTCTCTGTATATATAATAAACTAAGAGAAGGTCGTCGTTATTTGCAGAAATTCTAAATCTTCCGTTCTAAAGATAAGATTTTTGTGTAAATGTTTTGGGGGAAAAAATAAAATCGGATTGGACAAAAAAACCTGCAAATTGAAGACTTTTATTTACAACGTGAGACGCGCGATCGTCCCGTCATCGGGGGAGGGGCTGGGGGGAGGAGTCCCATGCTGGATCGTCCATTAATAAATATGTTCCATTGTCAGCGGGTCGCCTCTCCTAATGAGGGTTATAGGGAAGCCACTTGTGGGGGTACCGAGGCCTGATAACGGGGGCGCGGACCCTGATTGGTAGAGAAGAGACCTTACACTGACCACCCGCCACATTTTGGGTGATATTAATGTATCCGGTTGGAAGGACGACGCTGAGAACTCCGGATACAATCTTCCTTTTTCAGGGATTTGGGACATACTCCATGCACATCCCCCCGCTTCCGTTCTCCAGATCTTCCATATCTGCGGCCATATAATAAAACGTGTGCCGCCGGTGTCAGCCGGGAACATCATCAGGTATATAATGTTCCAAGGCGGTTACATCGCGTTGTTTCCCCGAATCTTCCCAATCACTTCTACTGTCGTGGTAACCAACCTGTAAGTTGGTTACCCCCAAAACTCACACGCTATAGGTGGAGTCATGTGAAAGCCGGTTCCTCCGGACCGACGATCTTAACGGGATTCTCCCAGTGAAAATGGGTTTTTGGTGGGAAAATTACTCAAATTTATATGCAAATGAGCACCCCAAAATCTATGCAAATCAGAGAACGGGGGAAGAAAAATAGTCTCCCTAACTGGGAAACAGACCGAAAAACAAACGATAGAAGGGTTTTCCCTGACTCCAGATTCTGTACTCAGAACATTCACCCTCGGAGAATGTTCAGTGCTTTGTGGAAGTTATAATGAGAACTTGGACTGTGTTGGTTGCACCCGATATCAGAGGGAGATATTGTCAGACCTTCGCACCGCGCTGATCAATGACTACAGAGAACTTTCTTTCCGAGTGTAAGCCCTCAGGGGCCGGGCCCTCCTCACCATCTTGTCTTGTGACTGTAATGTCTTCCTTATATTGTACAGCGCTGCACACACTGTTGGCGCCATATAAATACTATGTAATAATAATAACTTTAAACTGGAAGAACACAAAGGATGCGAGCGCTCGTCCTGTGTTCTATCAAAACCTCCAACTCATCGACTTCTCCAACCATCAGACTTCTGGTTCAGTTAGAAGTGAGAGGATTGGCCGAGAAGTCTGTACTGCACGTGCTCCACCCGCGCCATTTCCCTACACACATACTACACCGTAATAGTCTTATAATGAACTCGGGTCACACTCATCCCGCACGTTACTCAGCGGAGTCGCCCCGCTCAATATGGCCGTAGAACACGTCTGGCACTGTTTGTGAACTGACACGTCGGCTGATGAGATGCGTGTCGTGTCCCAGACATTGAGGACAGAGCCTTATCACTGGCCCTTTAAGAGTGCTGACAACCAAAGTCTATATCCATGTCAGCATATCATGTCGCATGAAGAATATTCAGTACATGTGTCCCGTGTGTCGGGGGAACAGAGGCAGAACACGTGATGTTTGGGGTTAGGCTCCGAGAATTTAGACCACGCAGCAATTATCATTCGTCACCCTCCAAAGTCAGTCAGTCAGTCAGTCTGATAACGCACATACAGATCCAACTACACCGGCCTACACACATACAGCACAGCAATGACCTATACACATACAGCACAGCAATGAAGTCATAAAATGAACTAGGATCACACTCATCCAGCACGTTATTTATCTCACGTGCCCCACTCAATATGGCCGCCACTTGAGTGCAGCAACTCAGAATAATAACGTGCTGGATTAGTGTAATCCTAGTTCATTTTATGACTTCATTGCTGTGCTGTATGTGTATAGGTCATCGCTGTGCTGTATGTGTATAGGTCATCGCTGTGCTGTATGTGTATAGGTCATCGCTGTGCTGTATGTGTATAGGTCATCGCTGTGCTGTATGTGTATAGGTCATCGCTGTGCTGTATGTGTATAGGTCATCGCTGTGCTGTATGTGTATAGGTCATCGCTGTGCTGTATGTGTATAGGTCATCGCTGTGCTGTATGTGTATAGGTCATCGCTGTGCTGTATGTGTATAGGTCATTGCTATGCTGTATGTGTATAGGTCATTGCTATGCTGTATGTGTATAGGTCATTGCTGTGCTGTATGTGTATAGGTCATTGCTATGCTGTATGTGTATAGGTCATTGCTGTGCTGTATTTGTATAGGCCGATGCCTTGCCTGCGCTCGTGCAGAACAAGTTTCTTGGGCAAACCTCTTCGTTGTAACGAAACCGGAAGTCAGGCGGTCGCAGAACTCGACAGATCACCGGACCAAGTGGCTCTGTCGGCTAACGAAGGGGGGGAGGAGTCCGGTGACGTCACAGACATCGACGTCACC